AAATCTTTCCGTCGTCAAAGTTTCTTTGTTTTTGTTTAAACTGTATTTTATTTTCTTCAACTTATCAACTTCGTCTTCAAAAGTAGTTCAAATGTTTTATTAATATTCATATATATGTGTTTGGAATACAATTTTTATTCCTTTTAAAATTAAATATCTGTAAATAAACATTGTCGTTGTTTTTCGAAGATCTTTATAGTAAGAATGTGAATGTAATGTAATCTCGGAAGCAAACATCATATAATTTAGCAAACGAGAGCTGTTTCCTTGTTAGTTTGCACCATTTAATCTTCAGTAAGTTTGGTAACACGAACACGTGCAGTCCGGTGGTGATGTCCATGATGTTCTCTATATAAGTTATTAATTAATTTTCAATTATTCGTAATTTTTCTATATGTAAGGATATAATCAAAGGTTAAAAATACAATAGTAAATATTTTATTTTGAAGCTTTCTAATAAGTATAAAAATACATAAGCAAACCGGCCATTCCAGTGATTTTATACACGTAAGTAAATATGTATGTATGTATATTGTTGTTGAAGCCGGATATTACATTTTGCGTGTGAAAAGGAAATTAACTTTCGTGCAGTTCAAGGCTCTTACATTTGATCGATAAGTCCAAGACCATAAAGATTACTCTATTCTTTTGTTCAAATTTACCTGTTACAAATTTATATATTTTGTGCTTTCTTGTTTTATTGTTAAAGTTGCAAATATATTAAACCCAGTAATTTTTACAACCAAACCTTACTTGTACAGTTCTGAACAGTAAATATTTCACTCAGTTAAAATTTACGGCTGCTGTCACGTACTCTAGTATACATACAAAAATAAACCGGGAGCTAAAGTTATTCATAACTTTTTTACATTTATTAAAATGGCGACTCTCTCTGGTAGTTTATAATGTGACATTATTCACGGAGTGTACAAAATAGTCGGCCACTGTCCACTGGTCAGTTTGCGGCCAGTTGTGACAAATGTGTGGCTCAGTTTGCGGCCGGTGGAAATAAATGCGAGGCCTTGGCAGGTCGCGGGCGTGGCCGCTAGATGGCGTTAGCTGGTATTACTCATACGCTGTTTTTGCATACACTCATCTTCTGTTAGCTGAAACGTAATTCTGGAACAACAACGGCTAAACGTATCTCGCTGTAATTTGGCATACTTATAGAATATAGTCAGGAAGAATACATAGGCTACTAATAACGTTTTTTTTTAATTCTGCGGAGACGTAGTTGCGGGCGACAGCTAGTATTGAATATTTTAGATATAAATTTATGTTACACGAGTAAGAAGCTTAGACATTGTAACTGTAATGTAATCGCTAGGAAAAATTTGCTTGTCTGTGTTTGTGTAGGTACTCATATACCAATTCAGTTGGGAATTGTTACACTAAGTTAGTGTTGCGGTGGAGTACACGCGCTCCGTGTAGAGGTCGCTCAATACTGTGTCGAAATAACTCCGTAATGCTGAGCCGCAACTTATGCAAACTGGCTCGTGGATTAAGGCACACAACACATGTTTGCACACGAGTAACGTTTGCTACAGATTTAAGCCCAGTGAAGCGATTCAAGTACTCCTCAGCTCGCTCAGGCTCAAGCCTTGTGTTTGCCAGATTTTATCTTAATTAAACATACGATCTGTGCGCTCTGTTTGATAAATAATATTTACATGAAAATGTTTCGTAAATAATAAACGAGGATTTTAATTGAGAAATTAAAGCTTCTTGATTGCAATAAAATATCTGATAGTTGTAAAGTAGTTTGTAAATGTTATCATCGCATCGCATGCATTTAATTTTATATTATCAGAAAGAAGAATTGAATTAATATCTTCATACCATAAATATGTCTGATTGTACAGTACTACCTACACACTTTTAACGTATGATTGAATACAGTAATGGTTACACTACTGAAATTGTGTTTATGAACCTTAATTCCAACCGAAGTTATGTTAAATCAATAAGAATTGACACACATGCAAGTCTTACCGTATATTATTTGAATGTGGATAAACTGTGGATTAAGGCTATCCTTTCAAAGCTTAGTAAGTAGTTGGGAAGGGCTCAGCGGTCGGCGGCGGACAAACATGTTTAGGTTTGAAGAGCAAATGGTCGGCGAGGAGTTACAAAGGTCTCGTTAACTCGCACTAACTGTTTGACATGAGAACCGTTGCTATTGTCACGTCTACATTGTTGTTCAACAAATTGATGTTGACCCACTGTTTATAAATGAGTATTATTTGATTCCATTTATTTATTTATGCCAATTTAAAAGATTTTCTCTTTCCAATATTTATAAAAATATTTTCTATATCAAGGCTTTTCGTGTATGATCATGTACGTGTGAGAGTAGTGGCAAAGGGCAGTTCGCGGGGCGACGTGCGGGGTGCGGGGCGGGGGTTTGCCGCTATCGAGTGGGGTCAGGGTTCAGGGTTCAGGGCGAGGCACACCGACAGTCGTGGTCAGCGCTCGCGTTTGCGGCGACCATTTGTTATCGCGCCTTCTTTTCGCTGAACCTTCTAAATTTAATTGACCTACAGATGAACTTCCAACTTTTTGTGTTTACATTGATCGCTGATGTCTTGAATTCAAACCTATTACACGATTTTCTCATTATTCCTTTTCGTTTTTCTTTTACCCTTTTTCTTGACCCTTCCTTTATTAGGTGTGGAAGTTATTAGGGACTGCTATCAATGTCTTTAAGCGAGACTTTATACGTTAAGTGTAAAGCTATCACGGATCCATACATTAGTGCCTGACTAAGTACGCCGTTGTCTGGAGACCTCTTGTGCTCACGATGCCGCGCAGGGGGAGGGGATGGGAAGCCCGGGCGAGCGGGAGGGGCGGACTGAATACTAATTACCGGTGAACAGCTGAGACGTGTAGAGTAGTGTAGAGCTCCCTCGTTGAGTACAAGAGGCATTTTAATTTAAGCTGTTTTTAAGTTTAGCTCGAAATTGCTTTTCGTGCTAAAATTATCGAATTGCACTTTATTGTAAGTAATGCACTCAATAATAATATATAAACGCACTATAACATTATGTTCAAGCATTAGAAACAGACCGTCGTTGTTACAGGACATAAATAGTCTTCCTCTAATTATCTTAGTCTTAAGCTGCGCTATTTGTAGTGAGCGATTAGGCCCGGGGCCGCTCGCAGTAGAACGAGCAGCGGTGAGGAACTACTGTGATAGTTATTACACGTTCACAGAATTAATTACTCCGTCTGTTGGTGCGGCTGCGAACTGCTGACTGCAGTCTGGAGGGACGTCTGTTTATTGTTCAGACGCCGAGTGCAAAGGAAGCGCTAACAACCTCATCCCGCTGGCGCAATGCCACTTGACACCGTTAACAGCAGTAATAAGAAGTAGTTGTCTAATTTATTCAATTATCTTGTTCAATTGTCAAATTCCACTATACCGTAGAACTCCATTGGCTTGACAAAACAAGGACAATAATATGTTTTGATACAAATTATAGGGCAGTGGAGTTCTACGGTTTGTTTGGTTGATTTCCTCACAGAAATAACAAAATGTTAAAACTGTTTACTTTCTGCGTTGTAAGCATTACAAACGTTAGGTCTATTTGTCGTTGAGTTCCGACCCCGGAGCGGTTACATTCGATCGATATTTGAATTGCAAATCAAACTTTATTCGATCCCGCGTCCAATTTTACCTCTCGTTTGCAAACCGCCCTCAATTACAGCGCGCCCGCCCGATACAACTGACGCCCGGCACACTGTACATTGTCCTATCAGGAACACCCACAACAATAAAACTGTACACGACTTCAGCGAAATAGGTTCAGATCGAATTGGTGTACATGTTGTGAATTGGAGAAAACGGCCGTCGACCAATGTCAGTAGTGTAAATACGTAATACTTCATAGCTACTTCTAGTTATTATGTCAATAATGAAGCAAATAGATACGTGATACAAATATTTGTCAACTGTACGACAAACAGTTTGCTGTCGATGTATTCGAGAGTAAAATGTAAGGTGACACAACAATACGGTATATTTGCCGTTGGAAACTCACAACAAACATGTCTGTCCCCAACAAGCATACCTTTAATAACTATTGTTGTATTATGTATAATATAATATTTATGTTAGTACTCGTACATACGTGTTACACCATCGTAATATTTATTCTATCTGACAGATTAACGCATTACATTAAGCATTGAGATTATATCAAATATTCTAGCTTCGTAACTAACTATGAGATGAACAATGTATTAGTTTGTAATGAATATTGATTGAGCCATGTTTGATTTGGTGTCGAGTATCACTGCACATGTATGTATAGTGAGTATAATGCCTGTATCGTACCGTGTGGTGATGCACAATTGAGGTGATACCAGTGAAAGCAATACAAATAGTTCGTTCACAATATATGTATAATATCATTTCCACTGTTCGAGCCGCGCGGCTAGTCGTTTAGTGGAAATGTGGTTTAAGTCTCTCCGGCGCGCCGCGCAGACACGGGGTCAGCAGGTCGGCGCGATGTACTCGCGATGTCGTCGCGATGTCGCCGCTCCTCGAGAGACTCAGCGAACAAAGCTGCTCGTTTCATTTCTAATGTTTCTTTTGCTGTTGGCAGACTTTATCACCATAAACTAGCGTAGCTACTTTTATTATTTAAACATTGAATTCCTGCGAAAACATATCTAGCAATTTAAACTTTATTTACTTATTGTTGTTTATATTTTTACATTATTCTTCGTTATTTTATTTTTTATCATTTCTACGATTATACTCGGTCTTTAGGGGATAAAAATTATCACATAACATTAAGAGTATGACAATTTATGCCGCCTCTCTAACCGTCACTAATGAACGCCGGCACCGAGCACCACCAAATTGCCCCAAATAACATAGTACCTATCGTATATTAGTATGTGTACGTACCGTACGCATGACTACACATAAAATAATTGATGAGCCTTTCCGCTTAAAAGCTTTCCGGTTATTACAGTTGCGATGTTCGTTTCAGATTGGCCGCTACTGCGAGCGCGCGGGCGGGCTGATGGCCCGATGACGCAGCATGCGCCGCGTGACCATCGCCGCTTTACTGCGGCTTCTCCTTGTCGCAGGTACTACACAAGCTTCAATGGATTGCAATAATTTCCAAATATACGAATAAAGTTACGCGCTGTACTGGATGGAAATAATGCGTTTTATAAATTTTACTTTGAGGTTTAACTGGTTTTAGTTTTATAATTCAAATGACGTGAAAAATGGATACGCAATGGGTAAGCAGCTAAAGCTTAGCATTTATTAGGAAGCTGGATTTGTGTACCTACATCATAAGGTTATTAAATTATAAATTTGTTATGTGACACGCACACACACATATGAGAACCCTATGAATAAAGTAATAAACGTAGGAGTTTTGAGTCGCTAACGCATAAAGGCTTCGACGTTCGCTTGAAGTCGCTCTTTTATCCATATTTTTATTATTATTTCATAATCAAAATTTTATGGCAACATCTAAGTCTGGTTTGAGAGTGGAATTATGATAACGTTGAGTGTTTACTGCGTGTCCCTCGCGCGTACTGCGGCTTTTTACAGATGGAAACAAAATTTATTACGTAAAGTTTTTATTTTATATTTACAATTTTATGATTCCGTTCGGAGAGGACAACCTCCAGTGAGAAATCGTACTTCTTTTGTTTAACTGTTATCAGTTTACAAGAAGTTTATTCTGTGTGCGTGCGGTGCGACTCGTTACATTTAACTTTTTCTCATTTCTAATTCTTTTTCAAATTGTTTTCGATGTTGACAACAAACATAGAAGACGAGATAATCAAAACGCGTCTTGTCGCGAATCCATAAATGCACTTTGCACAAGTTTCGAACAATGCTAAATAAAAAAACTGACTAAGAAACAACCGCTTATCCTAGTCATTTTTTTCGCATTTCGCATATGACTCAATTGATAAATTGACAAAGCTGTGGAGGCGTCGAGACGCGGAGGAGTGGCTCACTACGTAAGTGATATGTCCTCCCCTCGACGTGGTGTGGACTATATTTTTCTTTATTTGATTTGTATAACATAGAAAACGATTACTTGAAGATTTTGTCATTCCATTCCATATCATATCATTAGAATAGCTTATATACGAATAGTGAAGTCTAATCTATGAGATGTTTAAAATAAAACATAACATATACCCAGATGTGAACCGAGTATGTCGTATGTTCCTCTGTTCGGACATAAGGAAGGTTTATCAATTATCAGTGTCGCTGAATAACCAGGGCTAGGTCTTGCCTTGTCCGCGGGGGCCTGCAGGGGTGTGGGGTAGGGGTGCAGACACATTAATTCCGAGCCATCGGCCCGTCCCGACCCCCGGCGGCCTCAGCCTTCGCATTACCGCTCCATCAACAGACCCACTGCCCGATAAAAACTTATTGTCACGAGTGCGCTATGTCGGAGGTCAATAGATTCCATTACATATAGTTTGAATACATCTGATATACCAATAGATACTTCGATTGCATTGCCTCAATTCAACTGTTTGTGTTCCTTCAAATTCCTTATATGTTTACAGTGTGCCTCATAATTTGTTTTCCATTTTAATAACAATAATTTCAGCTTCTTATAACCAAGTGCATATAACTTCGTTATTACCTTTACAGTAAGTAACAGATGGCTAGGTAGACCCAATAAAAGGGATTTTATAATAAAAACGGACATTTTATTTTAAAGTAGCTGGTGTAGTAACTTCACTGCGGAATTATTAATTAAAATTTCTTGTAGAATTTTCTTTATCATGCTTAATGAATTCAGGTGCGGGGGTCTCGCTACGTTGGTCTCATTTACACTTGACCGCCATTACTGTCTGCCGCACAAATAAATTGTTTAATATTTCATTGGCAACACTTCGCCTTGGAGCAAATTCATTACGCAAACAAACGCCTCATTTAGCTCTGATTCACGGCCGCTAAAGCTGAGACGTTTTAATTTATATAAACGGTTTTAAAGAAACAGCAAGCGCCAGTGTAATGTGACACCACACTTTTCAAACCTTATTGTATACTTGGCAACGTTTAAACGTAACAATGCCATGTCGCAGGTCAAGCGCGTTTGGTTGCAGCGGGGCTGCGGGACTGCTTAGTGCGGAGGTTGCGAGACACTGATACCTTACAATATCTCATATCGCATTATATCATTTCCTGTGCAAAATCTGCCACATCCAGTAAAGTAAAACAGTTCGTGTTGCCAAAGCGGATATTTGTATAATACATACTTATTTCTATGTATACATTAACTGAAATTAAAACATACTTCTCGCTCATTTTTAAACGTAAAATGTATATCTAATAACATTATATATATGTGTGGGGTAGGGGTAGGGGTAGGGGGCTACACTCTTCTCCTTTGTCACACAACCGTTAGTAATTCATATCTTATATTCTTTACTAATGAATTCTCTCAAGTTCGGACGTCACAGAACTAAGTCAACTGTGAGTTGAATTACCAGGCCAAGTTCTATAGGGCCGCCCCTCATCAATGAGAGACCTCGGAACGAGACGCCGATACTACACTTCTAAAATTAAACGACAACTTTATTATATGCAGATTAATTATTACTGTGTCTATATGATTTGAATAAATCTTACGGAACTTCGCGTAGTAACTGTTTAAATCTGTCATTAGGCGGCGCTAGTTTCGCAAACCCATACGGGGGCGAGGAGCGCGTGGACCTCGGCCAGGTATGGGTGGACATCCCGAGCTCGCTGGTCGCGCTGGGCGGGGACGTGCACGTCACGGTGCGCGGGGCGTCCGCCGCTGCTGCCGCAGGGCTGCGCGTGCGCCTCGCACGCGAGGACGACGGTCGCGCTTTACTCGCCACCATGCCCCTCGCGCTAGACGCAGAGAGCCGCATGACGCTGCCTTGCGGCTACTTCTCTAGGGGCGGCACCTACTACTTGGAGCTCGTGGCGGACGGGGAGCGCCCGCCGGCGGAGGACTACGAGGCCGAGGACACCGAGCGCACAACCGAGGAGGGCGAGCGTGTGCGACGGGCGGCCGACGGCGCCACGTTGCAGACGGGCGAGGGCGCGGTCAAGTCGTGGCAGTTCGAGGTGCAGTGGCCGACGGCGACGCTGGACGTGACGCCGGAGCGCATCCAGACGTACCCGGAGCGCGCGGTGACGGCCATCGTTGAGTTCCCGCGGGCGGTGTGCGCGCCGCTGCGGGCGGGCGCCGACTTTTGGCTGGAGCTGCTGTACTGCGGCCACGCCAGCGGCGGCGCCGTACTCTGCGACGGCAGGAATACCAGCTCGCACGCACACGTCCTCTACTCCGAGCAGGTATACGATCAATTGCTGTATACATCATAACATTTTTAATTGTTTGAAATATAATAGATATGCATGTACGCGTGTTCAGATGCACGGGTTCCCCGGGCGGCGCACGATGACGCTGCGCTGCGAGCTGTTCGGGCAGGCGGGGGACTACGCGCTCACGCTGCGCCCCGCCGCGCCCGCAGCCCCAGCCGGGCCCCAGGACCTCGCCGCCGCATTCATAAAGGTCTCGTATTGATCATAGCCCCACCAGGTTAAATTGGTACACTGACAATTTTACATGTAAATAAATTGAGAACTATTGAATTGAAACAATGATGTAGTATAAATCGGTAGACGACAACTTCTTTATAAACGCGTATAAACAGTTGAAGTTATTTACACTATCTGCACTGAGCGCAGCAACAGTCTCCGAGGGCTTTATGATCTGTTTTCCAATAGGAATGTTTCGAGTGCAGTTCGGAATTGTCTTAGAAACTTTTTTGCAAACCGTGGTACAGGTATAACTATGTTTAGTGTAGGTCGTTGTATGTACAAATTGAATTGCGAGAAAAGAAGTTAAACTTTGTTTTCCAATATTGTATACTAACAAAGTAAGATGGCTCGGAGCTGATAGGGGCATCTTGTAGGAGGGTTTGGGCACTTTTTGTAGCAACGCTGAAAAGTCTTGAAACGTTGTTGAAGTCGCCAATAAAGCCCTCGACCCAGCCCCGGCCGAGAGCCACTTAGCCACTCCAGAACCGCTACCGCTGCCCGACATGCTTTTTATGTTTAGAGTCTACAATAGCTCAATAAAAAAAAAATTAATGCTCTATTTATAAGAGGTATGTAAAAACGCGCTAAAGAAATTCCTTTCACAATAACTTTGTAATTTATAATTGTAAAGTCATAAATATCGTTTAATTAGTAAATAATACACACATAAACTGTAACATTCGCTCATAGTCTGCAATCTGGAAGGAGATGCATATCTTAGAATTGTATTAGCGAGTAATGTCATCATTTGCACTCGAATAGCGAATTGGGCGCAGCCTGCAAATTGCAAGTTGAAACACTGTTACTATTTTCTTTTGTGTATATTTATAAAATTGTTTTAGGTTTAATGTAAGTATATTTTGTTTTTAAGCCGAGCAAAAACTAAGTAACGAGTGGTTCAGCCTCTAAAATGTTTTTCGTATGTTTTAAAATAGCAGCAGTAACACAATTTTTCCATTCGCCGTCGACTTTAATAGACGCATTTAACGACTTTACAGTCTATTTATTCAGCAAAGTTGGAACTGCAGCGGCTGCAGCAAACGTTTTAATATTTGAGGCGCTGAGTGCAGTGTCGGGGAAGCGAGCTAGTCCGCCCGAGCGGCGCGCGTCTCGCTCGCTCGATACCACGCTAACAAAACTTAACTTTTTATACGTTTTCATATTATACTTGACTTCAAAAAATCATGTACTTTGGAACAGCATTCGCTCACATACTATAAAACGCTAGAAAACCTTTAAATTTAAAATGGATTAAGTTGTAATCAGACTTCAAACGAATACACGTATCTTTGCCAATGTAGTTTTTATATGTTGTTGTGGTGGTCGGCGTAGGCGGACTGGTCGGAGCAGTTCGTGCTGAACGTGCGCGGGGGGTCGGTGCTGCCGTGCGGTGCGGGCGTGCGCGTGCTCTTCCAGTACCCCGAGTGTGTGCTCGAACGCGCCGACCGCGTGCGCGTCTTCGGCCGCGACCGCGACCGCCTCCGCTACGTCGCCGAGCGCAGGGTCACCAGGTCGAGTACACCTCGCTTACTGTTGTCTAAGCAACCCAAACTATTTAAAAGCATGTTACAGACTATATACACATAATATACCCTACTCTAGTATGTCACAAATCTGCTGGATGACTTCACCTGTCGCGTTGTGTTGTGTAGAGGGCAGCACACCGCGTCGTTTGACTGTCGGCTGTTCAGCGAGCGGTTCCCCGAGTACTGCTTCGTTTACGTGTCGCAGGCGGTGACGGGCGCCGTGGCCGACGTGCGAATGGACTGCCTGCCCACGCTGCCGCTCTCAGGTACGTCGTGCTCCAGCCTTAGGGCCTCCATGTCCTTGCACATAGGGCCCCCATCTTACAATGGTTGTGTTGTGCAGAGGGTGGGGCGGGCGCGTGGGGCGCGTGGTCGGCGTGGTCGGCGTGCCCAGCGCCCGCACACTGCAGCACGCGCACGCGCAGCCGACACCGCTTCTGCGACTCCCCGCCCCCCGCCTACGGCGCTAAGTACTGCGAGGTAAATCTGTTTCCGCATAGTTTTAGGTTAAGTAGTAAATTGAGAGGATTAAAATGTGTATAGGAAAGCCATCACTTGCCTAACAGTATAATACATTAGTTACATTGACGCAGATGAAAAGTGATGCGATATCAGTGGAATTTTTATTTTGTTAGTCAGCCTTTAATATACAATAAGTAGAGTGAAAGATCCCTCTAAAAGATTAAAAAAAAGAATTTTTCATACTTTGTTTTATTTTCTTGACTTTTGCGTTGACGTATGCGGTTAGAATTAATAATAGAGATACTAAAAATAGTTATTTTCAAGCAATGACCTATACATTGACAGAGTTCAGTGTGACATATACATACATGTATATCTAATACATTTCATAATAATATTTATGGCAAACTTTTGTTGTGCGCAGACAACGCGTTGCTGGGCAACCGTTTGGTCGATAATTATCGATTCCCACACATTGTGCTTTGTTACATTGAGTATTTGAATTCGTTTATTTTCATCGTGTTATATTTAGTGTGACATCATGCCGCCTAAAAAAGAAAAAGGTAAGAAACAAAAACAGGAAGAAGCCCCGACAGCGCCCACAGTCACGGAGACGGAAAAAACATTTTTCGAATTGGAAATAGCAGATTGCAACAGAAAAGTCGCAAGACTTCGGGCCTCCATTGAAGAATACGAAATACGGAATGAGGAGTTACAGAAAGCGTACGATAAGTTGGACGAAGACCGCGCAGATATTATTGCATATCTCAAGAAAGTGCTCAATACCAAAAATGAAGAAAACGTCGAGCTGAAAGAGAAAGTGAAAGGTCTGGAGGAAATCAGGGAAATAGAAACGGCTAACTTTAAGAAAACCGTGTCTGAACTGGAAAGAAATTTTACCGTAATGAAAGAACAACTGACTTCTGAAAATAAGTTGTTAGCAGGTAAATTAAATACACTTGAAGAATTTAGATGTATAAGAGATGAGTTAATGAGGAAATATGAGAAACAGGAACAAGACTTTAAAGACCAAGAGATGAAATACAAAAGGATTATTTATGACGCTGAAAAGAAATTTGTAATAGGTAAAGATAAATTAAAAAAAGAAATGGAAGGCAGACTGTTACAGCTAGCCCAGGATTTTCAAGACGCGACTGAACTTAGAGTAGCGGCGTCCACTCACAGAGTGATCAGGGAAAACATAGCGATCAATAATGAACTCGATAACATATTGTCCGCGCAATCCAAGTTAACTGACCTTAATGAGAAGTTCAGGGAAAGCGAGAGAAATGCTCGCATCTCTATGGAACTAGCCGAGGAGGAAAGAGATAAAGCTATCAATAGAAGTATCGTCCAAAAGAAAGTGATCGATCAGCTCACAGCGGCTTTCCAAAATATAAACAAGGAAAAAGCTTTATTCGAAAAAAGAAACTATGACTTCGAAACGTTGCAAGTGAAGATTCAGAAACTAACCAAAGAAAATGAGAACCAGTTGTTGCAAATTCGTATTCTAGAGCAAAATCTTCACGCCAAAATGACTGATGAAAATAAATCTATCGTTGAAACGTCTAAAGTTAATAAAGAAAATGCTAAGCTGAAAAAAATATTAAAAGAAGCGGCAACAGCGATCCAGGCAGCTTTGAAATTAGACGAATGGGCCACCACGGACAAGAGTCGTGACATAATGAATAGAGAACTATTGCTTTCGCGCTTGCTATCAATCATAAACCAATATCGCGAATTGCATAAAGCCGACTCCACAGATACTATCGCTTCTCTAAGTAAAATATACGAAGAAGGCGATTTAGGATTCGTCCCGAAACCGTCTTCGAAGAAATCGATGGGTTCCACGGTCGCTCTAACATTATCTAGGGAAACACTCCCCGCTGAAAAAGAAAGCGCTGTCTCGATAGCGGAGTCCACCTCGACGATAGGCAGTGTCAAAACCATTCCTAGTATGAAACTTATCCCTCCGTCGTCGGTACAGGATGTCACCGTGAAACAAAGCATCGCCTCGTTTGTGACGTCATCTCACTCCTCGGAGACTCCGGAATCCTCCGAGAAAGAAAAGGAGGACGAGAGCGACGACATAGAGGCGCAACTCGTTAAAAGTAAACTGGAAATACAGAAATCGATAATGAAAGATTTGGCGTCACAAAGGAGGCTGAGCTCGCGAGCCAGGCTCTCCGAAGAAAAACAGAAGGCATTGATGTCCAAGTCCGTTATCTTTGAGGAAAAAGACGATGAAAGCGTAGAGGGCGAAGGGCGTCAGGCGGGAGACTCGGAGGCTGTGACGGGCGAGGGTGAGGACTCGGGGCAGGAGGAGCAGACGCCTGACGGTGACAAGGATGAGGAGCAGCATAAGGAGGAGGAGCCCAAGTGAACACGTCTAGTATATATGTAGAATTTCTAATTGTCACATTTTAATTTTTCAGACTTACTCGTTTAAAAGAAAAGACTTTTATGGTGTTTATGATGTGTACTTTTATGATATTATGTTAAGTATGTATTGATGGATTTATTTTGCTAAATGTATTTCAGAATAAAGTGTAAGAAGATAAAATATTTCATTTCAGGTTACGGTTACCTTACCTTAAAAATACTTTAGATCACCAAGGGTACTTAAGAGTAATATACCACATGTCAACTGACATAAACTTAACAATTTTATTATAAAAGTCCTTCATTTTCAAACTATTGCTCCCGGAATGACACCAATAGTCCACGACGGCGCAATGCCGGGCGCTCAGTGGAAAAGGTATTAAGAGCGAGTGTGTCAGGGGCCGGCGGTAGAGCTGGCGGCGTGCGAGTGCACTGCGCTGGCATGGGCGGGAGACGCGCCGGCCGTGGTTGCGGAGGTGGGCGCGCGCTGCCGCTGCGGCTGTGTGCTACACCTCGCGCCCGCCGCACGCCTGCTGGCCGGCTCGGCGCGCGCCTGCCCCGCGCGCTCCTTCTGGCTGCTACAGGTCTATACTTAGGAATCATTTTTTTTCGATTTTCGACTAACTGTAAAACTTCGAATAGTAAAGCGATCACAATGGCGCTCCCTTAGCGCATAATTAGTATAAGATATCGATTATTTTTAACAAATCTCTCTACTGTCTCTACTGTTGCGTCTTCTTAGTCGGGTTCCGTCGTAACCGTTATAAACACAATGTTTCTGAAATGGTAAATTTTGAAATGTTGTATAAATTACCCCCGGCCCTAAAGCTGTCAGGAGCATTCGCTCAAGTTGCCGGCGCAAGGAACTTGCCCGCGGCAAACTCTTGTTTGTATTATTGTACTTGGCGTAGTCAAAATACCTGGCAAATGTGCCTGCGCTGCCGACATGCTTATTGTTTTTTAAATTAATGTTTAATATTAAAGTTAAAAGCAAATAAATAATGTTAGTTAATATTCATTTCTGTCTTTCCAAAAGAGGTCGCAAGTCGGGAGCAAACGCTAGTTTAGCTTTAGGTTGAGTTGTTAGTTTAGTTAAATAGTATGAATATTGAGTTTGTAGCACAGGCAAGCCGTAGCAAGTTATCTCGTCACTGACCGGTTGCGGCAGCTTTTAACAAATGGCCTCGCAAACTCTTAGCTAACTTAATTACCGACGTAAATTGAGATACCGTTTTAGTTGAATCGATGTCCATACAGTTTTATTTCGTTATAAATACATTTACAACAAACTGAAAACAAGTTGGAAGTTTGTAGAAGTAATTATTGCCCGCTGATTGAATTATTCGATTTGAAGATTAGTAATAAAAGCAATAGACATTTCATATTTTAATCTTTATTGATGTTGTTTGGTCTAAATGAAATAAGGGATAACTTTGCCTTAAAAATTATAATAACTATATCTCGTTGAAATTGTAAAAGAGGCGATGGCAGATATTATTGCATTTTGCAGGAAGTGTTGTATTTAGGTTCGAGCACAGTTCCCGCAGCGCATCACTCGATCGTACAATGTTATGACGCATTTTTCTTCTCGACATTTAAATTAACCATCACTTCATTATTTACGTGCATGTACAAATTCAGACCGCTCGGGGACGCTGCTATATCAAGGGAATAGTTTACTAGAGTAATACAAACTTTTGAACTACAGTTCAGAGCGACACATCGATCTGACATCGCACGTTACGATTCTAGACTTAATTCTCATGTACGATACCAATTCCGAAATAGACCCGGAATCGTCCCAGTCCCGGCTGGAGGACAATGTTCGCGCTCCAATTAAACTTGACTACAATTAATTCCCTCAGCGCGGAGACGAGCTATCGCTAAACGCCAAACGACCGTCGACGAAACAATTCCACCCACATCAATTTATCTTCGCTTTGTTCCCGACCAAGTTATGCTGTGTTTAAGCGTTGTTCAAAATTGTCATAGTGTTTCCGTGACGTGTGATGTGTCCTGCACCGTATGAATAATAAGTGAAAACGTTTTGTAATTTGCAGATTGTTTTTATGTTTTAACTTAAGTATATAAATTCAATAAAAGTTAAATAATTAGTTTTGCCGAGTTAGAACTGCCCTTGACATGTAAATGTATTTAAATTAAAACTTGAAATTAATTCAGTGCGCGGCGGCGAGACCAATTACATCTGTTTCTACATATAATATAATACAATCATACGAATTTCTATAACAACACGTAAACAATTCCAACAAATTTATTACTAAGTTATTATAATTTTAGAAGAGTTGCTTAAAGTTTCTAACTTTAATTGAGTTATTAATTTCTGAAACCAAACTGTAATTACTTACTCTTTAAAGTATAGTGCTGCCGAGACGTTTTTAATATTAATAGATTGTGCGAAAACTAAATAGAATGGCCTCAACTTATCAAGTTATCAGACCGCTTTTGTTCTCGCTGTTCCCTCACCTGATGAAGAGCACCATTGATTGTATGGATTCATTAATTTAACTTGAGCTCGTGGGGTGGGTGTGTGTGTGTGTGTGTCAGGCGGAGGAGGGTCTGAGGGTGCAGTTGCGTGTGGAGTCAGTCCGGCTGCCGTGCGCAGGGCAGGCGCTGCGGGCGCGCGACGGGGACTCGCTCGGGTCGCCGCTGCTCGCCGCCTGGGACGGGCCCGACGCGGCCGCAGAGGTGCGCACACCTTTATACAGCTCTTAGAAGTTTACATTACCCGTCTTTCTTTCTTGCCATGTAATCGTTGGTATGTTGTATGACTGGAATATCTTTGTGTGCTTGTGCGCAGACGCTGGAGGATGGCGAGGGCGGGGGCGTGGACGGGGGTGCGGTGCAGGTGTCCGGGGGCCGGCACATCCTGGTGGAGCTGCGCTCTGCGGACACCAGCGCGCGCTGCGCCGGCGGGTTCCTCGCGCACGCATACCAAGTCGGTGAGTGTCCCTTCTGACCCTCTTTGCTTGAGTACATACATGCTTTGGTTATACATAATAAAAAAAAATTATATATGTACCCGAATGATGATTTCTGGTGAGCTATCGAGTACGTCGAATTTCTCAAACCACCCAACTTGTAACAACAATTTCTATGATTTTTGATTGGAATTTTATTACTAGTTTAAAAATAAATTTGTACACGTTATAAAATCGTAAGTGAAATCCTCTTCTAATCTTAAGTCAAAACGTACATTATTTAAATCCCCCATCCCTCGCGATGCTCGGCGTGGTCACGGCGTGGCTCACTCCTTTGTTTGTCGTATACATACGGCCGCCTAATTTATTAGGCGTACGTAAAGGAATTTTATTTTTCGTGCTAGTTTTTAAAGTCCGCCTTTCATCTCAAATGTAAAACTATTTAATAAATAGTAAACATTACTTGTATAAGATATTACGTTGTGACGAGTACGTAATTTGCGTGTACTCAGAGCCGTTGCTGAACCAGTCTGCGGCGTGGGCGCGTGCGGGTGCGGGGGGCGCGGCGGGCGCGTGGTGGGCGGGGGGCGGAGGGGCGCGGGCGGCGGCGGGCGCGCTGGCGGCGGGCGCGGCGCTGGCGGCGCTGTCGCTGGCGCTGCACTCTGCGCACCGCACGCGCGCCTACCACCGCGCCGCCGACAAGGAGTCGCTGACCGACAGCGACGGTGGGTGCCTGAGCGCGGCAAGTGCCCGACTGCGGGTGCGGGCGCAGAGTGAGCAGCGTGAGGTGTTGTGTGTGCAGCGTGCTCGGCGTCGCTGGAGCTGGGCGAGAGGCGCGCGGCGTCCCGCAGCACGCTGCTGTCAGAGGTGGGCGGGGTGGCGCTGCGCCGGCTGCTGCCCGCGCGCACCGGACACACGCGCCTCAGGGACGCGGATCGCAACTCGCAATGCACCCAAAGGTTTCCGCTCCACTTAAGAGATAAAAAAGTAAAATTAGTAGAACTGACGGAGGACTACGCTTCGGTAAGGTGTTACAATACTTCACGCGGACACATTGCATGCTACGTGTCACAACGTGCTGGGTGCTAATAATACAAAGCGACGCTCGCACTCCCTATAATTATTTGTAAAGTTCCTTAGTACGATCGATGAGATTCTTCGCGGAACCCTTTACTTGTTGATTACTTAACTAAAACAACGAGCGTCACAACTTGTTAAGTTAAAATAAAACTTAAATCACTCTACTCCGCAGAACGGAACCCCCGGGAGGGCGCGGGAGGGCGCCGGAGGGCGTGGGAGGGCGCGGCATTGTTTGGCCACGTTCCGCTCGTTCTGCAATGCCGACTGTTGTTGTATTAATTGTTCTGACGTCATCATATCGCTTTGTAATTGGGAGAGGGCTCGCTTCTTTATTTCAAGGGCCGTCCTCATCGGATTCATTAAGCAAATTGAGAACTAGTGATGGAGCACATTTTTTATTTATGTTTTTGTTTTGTCTTAAGTGCATGCACTCTGGTGAGTCGCTCGGCAGAGATAGCTAATATCCCTATAATATTTTTTACACACAGGGACGAGGAGCAGGGCACGGACGCGGAGGTGGAGGCGGATGGAGAGGGAGAGGGGGACGAGGCGAGCGTGACGAGTGCGGGCAGTGCGGGCAGTCAGACCACCGTGACGCCGGAGAGCGTGTCTGCGAGCAGCGCGCCCCCTTGCGGGGGCGTGGGCGGGGCGTCGTCGCCGCTGCGCCGCTCGCGCACAGTCTCCGCCACGCACGTCACCGCCTCGCAGGTCTCTTCTCTTTCTTCTCAGGACTTTAGTAAATCCATCAGTTGCCTTAGTTCATCTTACTATTTATTGGAACGGATCTAATCTGTAGGAGATATGTGCGGCCCTGACGTCGAGGAATCAGGCGGAGACGTCGCAGCTGACCGCCAGCAGCACCTCCGTCAGCGGCCGAGAGGAGAGCACGGAGGACAAGGACAGGAACAGCGCGTGGGAGCGGGACGGGAGCGCGAGCGGGGCCTCCTCCTCCACCTCCGCCGCCACGCTCACTAACGTAATACGAACACAATGTTTATTAGAAGCTATTCAATGGTTAATGTAGTGATGATGTCTGGTTGTGCGCGGCAGGGCTGGTACTCGCCGGCGTTGAGCGGGGTGTCTGCGGCCAGGATTCGGGACAACCCCAAGCACACGAAGGAGTCCTGCAACCGCAAGCTGCTCAAGTCCGACCTCAGCCTCACCTCGCACCCCGAGATGGAGATAGACTACTACGACTATGAGGTCAACAATGCAGGTAATACACAGACACAGTTGACGGAGCGACCGGTCGCACGCCGAGTGATGGTGGTGTTGGCGTCGAAGCGGCCTCCGCTTGCTCCCCAGCCGGTGTGCGTTACAAATGATCGGATGTTTCCTCATCGTTGCAGGTTCCGTGCCGGGATCTTATTTAGGCATGGATCCGGCGTTTTTAGTCTGGATCCCGCCGATAGAAGACGGCGACATCATCAAAGAGATCGACGAAAATAAACCGATCAAATATGAGGTATTTTTAAGCCCTTTTTGATTCCGTACAAAAAATATTTTTTGTGCTCGTCTCGTAGTCCATAATGCCGTAAATAAATATCCAAAAACTGTTTCGTTCTTTCCCACAGGAGGTCATCCCCGAGGAGTTACGTCCGGACCCGGGCAGCAACCGGGAGTCCCCCGAGGAGAGGCCCCGGGCCGGCGCCCTCGGCCGCTCCGGCGATCACCGCACGAACAGATCCAACGAGTCCATCAGGTCCATAAGGAAGGTGATGGACAGAAGCAACATCATCCACCCGCTCAACTTCAGCATCGGCGACCTGCAGCACTCGCCTACACTCAACAAAAAGAACAAAAGGAAAAAGGCGGAGAGTCCCGTCTCCATACCGATGAAGGATCTGACTCTGAACATGTCCCCGGTGCGCGTGCACAGGAGGGAGCGGCGACACGACCACGACGACTCCTCTACTCTCAAGCGCATCCACGATACGTCCAGGGAAAAGGACGACACGTTAAAAAGGTCGGACGTCATCGACCTGAAGTTCGCCGACGAGACGTCGGACTCTTCTAGCGATATAAAGTTCGCGGACGACTCGCCCGACAGCAACCGGCTCGCCGACAGGTACGAGCTCGTGGCGTAGACGTGCGCCGCCGCCTTGTTGTCGTCTTGTTGCCGCCTTGTTGCCGCCGTGCATTATCATCAATCAACAGATTTACAAAAATCATTAATATGATAATAAAAATAAAAGGTAACAAAGTTTGAGGTGATAAGACGTATCAAAATATTTGTAAACATAATGGTAAGCAGCGTTGTCGTTGCTGATCTCAATAATGGTGTTACTTCAATGTAACACGATCTATCCCGACAGTGAACGCTTGCGTCACCCCCACACCCCACACCCCACACCCCCAC